TTAAATGAGCGTGTTGCCCGCGGAAAATCCAGCAGCAACTTGCAACACTCCCCCAGCAATGTGCAACACGCTGCGTGCCACTTTGTTGCAACGAGAGCTGATTGCCAGCAGAGATACGACTTATAAAAGCCGAAAATTAAGTTTAGGGCGCTGCTGGAAGGTATTCCACGGTCTCCACTGCTGCAACCTTAGATTGATTATTATGTCAAGTGCCAAGGAAATAAAAGCACTAGTTTATATTCGTCATTCAAAGTTGACCGAACGCTAAGACCTTAGTTTAATAAATAGTCAAGGCTGTAATTTATTTGATGCTTAAACCATATTTGTCAATTAAAAAATAGAAAAGAAATACAATTAGTTATATTAGTACCGTCATATTAATCATTAAAATAAAGCAGATGCGAATTTAGCAAAATCAATCAAAGAAATCACCAAAGTTAAGCACAGCAAAAGCAACAATCCAAATAGTCGACATTGTCGATATGAAAGTCACCTCTCTAATCTGTTCGCTTTATGGGTGCGTCATTAAGATACAAACACGCGTATCTGGCAGATACTTGACGAAGTTATCCTGCAGATATGCTGCGTCTGAGTCTCGTTTCTTTTTCGCCCCGATATTATTAAACATTCAAGGGCAGCGCCTTCATTTGCCTTTGTTTTTTTATTCCCCAGTCTCCGGGCATTTTAATGGCCCAACTTGTCGTCGTTGGCAAACTGGATTGTCAACGTGTCTAGTCATCAGTTTTACGCACCACTTGTTCCACATACCCCACTCCCACAACTCCGATATCTGCTGGCTTTTTGTTGCTGCAATTTACATATTTATTTCGTTCGATTTGCCGGGATATTGAGCCGATATATCCTAGTGCTCTCGACTAATAGGCCTCTTCATACAATTGCCGTCCAAATGAGTTTAAGTGCAATCTGCTTATCCTGTTTCTGTTACACTCGATTTTAATGGGCGCCTAAGTGAAACTTTGGGGAAAGGGAGGACTTCGATTGGCTCGAGTGCCTTTCCTTGCATAATTTTTGCTTTAAGTAAAGTTTCTTTGCCAATGTGTGATTACGAGGCATTACAAATGCATAGAAAATCTGCTAGTGGGGAATATTATATCTGACCTTTTCAGTCATAAAGCTTAAAGCTGAGTGCTGTAATATTTTTCCATTCGGATTAAAGAAAATGTTTACTCAATATTCTTTTAAGGAAATTTGCTATGCTGCATAGGAGACGAGAAAATCTTTAAGGCGACTTAAATGGCTGACTTCACTTAATGCTTTTAAATAAATATTTTTTGGTATTGGAAATGTAGTGTTTTGTTACCTTTGTAAAATGGCTCGTGGCAGTCAGATTCCAAATTGGTTTTCAGTTATATAATCACACCAAATAAATCAGAAGATCTACTTTAAAAACAAAATCAAAATAAAATAGGTATCTTTCGGGTTGAAAGTCGGGAATATGGTGGTGTTTTGAACTAACATTTAATTGCTTTAACTAAAGCCCCGACTAATCTTGAATTTCTGGCCAAACTGTATCCCGCCATTACATAATTCAAATTGCCGGTTGTCCCTCTAATAGTTTGCGACCCCGCCTCCGGACGACCTATATAGTATACGCTATATATATAAAACTATAGTGGTCGGGGGGTGTGGCCACGCCCAAAGAGCAGCTGCTGGCAGTGGGAAACACGCCCAACAACTTAATCAAAGGCCAAAACCAACAAAGTGCAAGGCAAGTGATGGAAAGTGAAGGAAAGAAAGCCCGAAAATAGGAAAAGCCCAAGCGACCATGACAGTTAACACCTTCGGGGGCAGCCGCACCCCTATCGCCCCCTTTGGCACCCTTAACCCCCCTTGCGCCCCCTTAACCCCTGATGGCCATCTCATTTATCAAGTGGCGAACAAGCAAACACGCGCCCATTGTTATTATTGGCATTATTGCGAAACAAACGGGCCACCAGATACAAATTGCTCAATTCAAAAATGTGTAATTTGGAGCTGTCACATTTGCCACGCCCCCAGCGCCCCTCATTGTATCACCTAGGATTGCGTGACCAAAAATTAAGGGGCCAGGGTGCCACAAAAGGAGATTGCACACGGCCACAAATAAATAATGTAATCAGCAATAAAGGCGAAATGAAAGGAATCAAAGGAGACAATATCACACACGAGCAGGAAACTATGCACTGCACAAAAATAGGACTAAGAAGTCATTTTATCCTGTCATAACATTTGTGCCTGTCTACATTTCGAACCTAAAATTGTCATTTTGATATTAGCTTCTATTTAAAGCAGTAAATATGTGTTTAATATTATATTAAAATGAGATATCCATTTGAAAAATGTATACAAATGAAAAAATGATATTTTATCCATATATAAGAAACTAGTACAATTACATCTTGTTATGCTTTTTTCAGTGCATTGCTGGCAAAATTTGAAAAAGATTGTGCCATCATTTATAACGCCTGCCAAGTGGACATTGGGGGGCCCGTCTTTATATGAATAAATTAAACGTATTACTTGTGGCACTTGTGATCTGTTTTTATTTTACTTTTTTGTCCGACTGCCCTGCATAAAACATTAAGCACATTAAGCATCAAACGAACCCTCATCCCGCCACTTCTGCGTCAATTGAGACATTTAACAAAAAGGTCCGTTTACCTTTTTTAGTGCGTGAGTGTGCGAGTGTGTGAGTGTGCGAGTGTGTGTAATGAATGTATAACACGCTCCGCTCTGCATATCCTTTTGAAGTCCCCTTCCCGAATGCCCCCAAGAAATAACAGTGGACCTGATCTTGTGTTTCGTTGATTTTTAAAATACTTTTGGCCTTATTAAAAATATTTTAATCGCTCAAATATAAAAATAAACATTTTTATTACCATAGAGCAACACAAAAGCATTCATGAATTAATTTACTACTTCTATTTGAACACTTTGCAACCACTGTTTTCTTATTATTATACTTTTTGTGGAAAAACGGTTTTCGCTTGCGTTTAGTGTTCAATTTTGTATACGCTGGTCAGGATGGTCAGGCGGATGGAGATGTGTGTTCTGGGGGTTATTTCGTGTGAGTTAAGCACTGGCCAGAGGAATTGATATCCTCGGAGCCCTCGACCGATTTTGCGACCCCTTTCGAACAGCTGCGCCATCCCACCGAATTTTGCTTTATTTTATTTATTTTATTTTACGTTTATTTTTGTGTGTGCGAGTATTTTCTTTGCCGCTCGTTCGGAGCTCGTTTAGACATCGTTTTGTCATTTTGGGGCCATGTGTGTGCGAATGTGCCTTAAATGTCAAACCCTTTTCAAAAATAGTCTGTAGGAGGCCACAGAAATTCGCTCGTTGTCCAGGACATTGAGGCCCCACTGCACGCATCGTAAATTTTCCGCCCGTTTTACCACTTTTCCGCTCATCCCCCTCCCCCACCCCCTTCCCGGTTCTGCAGACAAATGAAATTGTATTATTAACACATCTGAGATGCCAAGTAATGTTTGGTCAAACGTTGCTAATATGCCCGGAGTCTGGAGGCGTTCATGCAAATTGTTTACCTTATCCCCAGATTCCCCAGATTCCCTGATTCCCAGACTGACCGATCAAATCGCAGTGTCTGCACATTAGTCTCATAGACACGCAGAGATTTTCCCCAACTTTCCCTTTTCCCATTTCCCCTGCAACTGGCACTTGTCTTGTCCCTTTCCCTTTCCCTGGATCCTGTCTAGATGTCCATCTGCCAGTTTCAATTTGAAACAATGTCGCCGGGGGCCAGAAAAGTGCAATTACTATCATGTTGGGGAATCGCTTAACGAAATCAAACAACGTCTTGAAGCATTTTGCTTTCGACTTTCTGATTTCTGGGACAGCAATTAAATGCGGGCTGAGGAATAGTTTTCCGAATGAACGTCGCCCTAAAAACGGAGCCAAATTTTACTAGAAGTTTGTGACTGACATTTTAGTCTATTTGAATGGCAGAATATTCCGTTGGATTGCTAAGAAAAAACAAATATATAAGATGATATTCATGGATATAATTAGGTATATAAAGTTTAATGAAAATAGTTGTGAGAACAAGTTTTGTTAACTGCGTTAGTTTTGTTTTTTCTTGCTTGAATAAATGTCATACAAATTGCATTGTTAAACTTAAATTTATTTAAGATAATTAGCACTTATAGACGGTTACTACAACGACACTATTCAATAACTTGCTTAGCCTGGGAAAACTCATTTGATTTGTGGGAACCACATGGCGTATGGGCAATTTTTTAAGGATAAAGTTTGCGCAATCTGCAAAAACTAACTTGTTAAGCTCACCCAAAAGACAGACTTGCAAACTTTGTCAGCTAAACGAAATTTTGATCACTTTTGTATGTGTATAAATATTTGGCAACCTTTTCTGTAGTTCGATTAACACTTTTTGCTGTTAGAGTGACATGCGACTTGACAGAGAAAAATAAAATGAATATAGCTGAAGGGAAGAAGGGGGCGGCGAGATGGCAAATGGGCGGGGCAGCGAACCAAACAGAGAAGCGGAATTTTCCCCCAGTGTTTCAGTGTTGATTTTCCACCGATTCTTTGCTCCTTTTTTTTTTGTGTTTTGCATGTTCACACTTTGACCCTTCTTTTGCCCGAAACGGAGCAAATTTATGGCCATTTGAGTGTTTGAGTGCAGCCCAAAGAAATGCGGGGCTTGTAGCAATTAGCAGGACCCCGAAATATTTTGTTGACCCTATTTAAAATGTAATGACTAGCCGGGGCCAGAGGTTGCGACGATTTATTTGCTCTTAGCACACCCGAAAATACGAAAATAAATTACAAATCACCCCGAGCAGCACATTAGTCATCGACCCCAATTTCGATGCCCAGAAGATTCATCAAGTGAATCCGAAATTATGCATCCCCGCGATACTTAAAGTCCTGCCATAGAGGTCGTTGCTTTTACCCCTCTTAATTGTAAATTAATTGTAAATTGGAAACTAAATCACTTTGTCATATTTCCATTGCAGCCCTGAATTCGCAAAGGAAAACTAACAGCCACAATTTAAAGAAGGTAAGCGCAGTATATATGTATTATTTTCACCAGGAACAACATTTCGAACATATAAATGAATTTACATCGGATTGCATAAAAACCAGGTGAACAGCATTGAATATTTTGATGATTACTTTTCCCACTACTGAATTCAATTTGCGCGTTATATTTAAGTCCACAACGGGTATTTATTCATTGCGGCGCAGCGAAATAAAATCGGAGGCTCCAATTCAATCAAAATGAATACAAACTCGAAACTCAACTGCAACATTTGTAGTGAACATAAAAAGGAAAACTTAATATTTGAAAATATGTAAAGGTGCTATATATATATATATAAAAGATTAAATGTTCACAAAAGTTGTAGCACAGGTAGTGAAGACTTTAAGAAAATTGGTTCCGGAATGATTTTGGTCTGCTAAATTAGAAATTGTATAATTATATTTGAAAATATGTAAAGTGGCTATATATATATATATATATAAAAGATTAAATGTTCACAAAAGTTGTACCACAGGTAGTGAAGACTTTAAGAAAATTGGTTCCGGAATGATTTTGGTCTGCTAAATTAGAAATTGTATAATTATTTTTCCACACAACACCTCCTAATATTTTGCCATCTACTGGGCTTTAAATTTGTATTATTATTGTTATCAATCAAAGACATCCCTTAATGATGTTATGTAGTATAAATTTATGTATGTATTTTTTATGTAAATCATACAAATTATGCATTTTATGTGGTCGTCAATACTTCTGCCAAAAGACAACAATAAAATGGAATGAACTTAAAGTAGTCGACGGTGTGATGACTTTTGGTCAATTGTAAATCTGTCTCAGCCCCTTTCGAAGTGGGCGGTGGGCGGTGGGCAGTGGGCGTGACAGTGGGTGGATCAGCGGGCGGTGGGTGGTAAGATGCCAAACGAAACGGCTTCGTGACCTTTGCTGCTGACGAGCGGTTGTGCAAGTTTTTTATTTTAAAATTTTCAGCAAACAAGTGGCAAGTGGTGCTGTTGCTGTTGCTGCCACAAAAAATAGCCAAAAACAAAGGCCAAACCAAAAACGAGGAATTTATTTGCAACACGCGCCAGTCTGGCCAAGATCTTTCGCCGCAGATAATCCCGCAAAAAGGCATTTAGTCGACTCGCCACTATATATATGTATATATGTGCGATTCCTCAGTCGTCGCTGACAGCCATTAAAAAAGTTGTAAAGTGCGAAGATGTGGGTGTTGTATGCAATTAGCAAACAGTTTTATGGCCCCAAACTTGGGACATCGAACTGAACATGACTTTGGATTCATCCGGAATCATTTGGATTCCGAGTTGTCGAAAAAAATGTTTTCCTGTTACTAAGCTTTTGAGAAATGGCAAAAAGGGGGTGATTCCGATTAAAGTTTTAAGATCATTAATTAACTGCATTAAAAGTAATGCAACATTGCTTTTAATTTTACACAAATATTAAGTTTAAACTGGGTCTAAATAGAAAATAATATATAAATTTTCCATGTGTTAGCAGAACACCTTAAAAGAAAATATAGAAGCAACTGGCTAGCAACTGATCTACTTCAACATACGTACTCCACAAAAAAAAAATAAATATTTCACACTTCCTCCATTAGTTAAGTCCCAACTAAAAACTGAAAACTGGCTCGTGCCGAAAAGTTTGCAATAATTATCCGAGTTGCGCCGCAATGAAGCCATAAAGCATACCCCATCTGCTGACGAATCCCCAGCACGTTTTGGCTGCGATTGGGTAGAGGGGTCAGAGGTCAGGGGTCCTAGATCCTGTATTCAGTATCCAGCATCCGGAGTGCTGGTTAAGGGATAACTAACAACTATTAAGTGAACTTTTTAATGCGCAACTTTTGTGTGCTGTAAATTAGGGCCACGAACTGTGAAGGCATCAGAATGATTGGCAGGCCCCAGGAACAATGAAACGGCAGTAATTCGGACTGGTAATTTACAGCCCCTGAAATAGAAATACACTGGGAATAATTGAAGTGATTCAAATGAAATTTATATTGGAAATTAGGAGGTAAATGTACTCAGAAGATAAGCTAACTGTGTATACTTAGTTGAAATATATCCATGTTTTTAAAATGATGTAACCTTGACATTCTAATGTTCAGGAACCCTTGCAGCTGTTTTAAAAAAATTAGTATTATATATTTCAATTTGTATGAGTACATGCTTAAAAACAATGAAGCTGATTGTTGCAGATCCAGAATATATATCATATTTGCGTTGCAAACTTGTGACTGATATTATAATATCCTCTTCAAGGGATAAAAAGATCTCACTTATTTTCACGTGTATTAGCATGTTAGATAGACAACTATGAGATAACCTCGGTGGCAGAATCCCCATATGGCTGCGATTAGAACGACAGATCTGGGGAGTGAGAGGGTCGGTTCGGGGTTTCCCTCTGACTTGCCTATGATTTATAGCCGTAATTAAAATCTGTTGCTGCAGGCTGGCTCGAATAAGCCGCTAAGACTTTTGTCAAAAGATATAAAGGCGAGCTTAAAGCGCTGGCCAAAGAAAAATCCTTTTATGCCGGAATTTAATTAAGGCAAATCTCCCTAAACACACACACACACACACCCACACACACATCCCCACATGCCCGCACAGATTCCACGGGGGCCGCTGAAAATGCCGGACGAAAAGCGGAAAATGGGAAATCGGGGAAATGGGGAAATGCCGCTGGCCCATCCAATATTGCCTTATTGTTCCAGTGCCTCCTTTTTTCGGGGGATCTGCCAACAGTGCACACGATGTCGCGTTGCTATCTTTTCCATACAGCCTGCATATTTGTTGAGTGCTCGCACTGGACAGGCCCAAAAAAAGAGGAAATATCGGTCAACAATAACAAATAGGCTGACAACTGGCGAGTGGCTGGCCAACACCGCCAAAAATGTCAGAGAAAATGCAAAGATTTTACGGTTTTATTCGGGGCTGCTGGGGAAATCTTTTCAAGCCCAATTCCAACCGAATTTGTATTACTGACTTAGGTCCTTTGTGGAATATAAAAATGAACATTTTATCAGCAAATTGTTTTACATTTCTCACGGTGTTCAAATATTTGTGTATTTTTTACCGCTAAAACTGAGAGGCACTCCAAACAATGGCCAGAAGCAGTTTTCCAGTTAACACCGAAACCACTCACAGTCACTGTTCGTTTTATACGACTCAATGGAGATATCTGTGCATATGATCGACAATAAATTGCTGAAAAGTGACTGCTTTACTGCCCACGGATATACTGGCACACTCGAGTTGGACTTTTTACTAGTGTGTCTCGGCTTAGGGCGCTCACCACTGCGTATGTGGAATATTTATCACTTGGCTCTCGCCTCAAGTATAGACTTCGAGGCGTTGAAAGGTGTAAATCAAATGGCTAGAATTTCCGCATAAAGTTATGCGATAAACTGATGACTTAATAAACAAGATACAGAGTGGTGTGCGAGGATTCCGAGTGGACAATAAAACATTGCGTCATATTTTAAATTACTTTTGATAAGCTGGTGACACGGGAGGATTAGAAAATATTGGCTCGTTTATCAGTTAAAATCTTGAGATGCAGTATGCATTTAGTTGAGCTTGGGCTTTTGACGGACAAAGAAATACGTTTTTTTCGAGCGAAAGGCTCACAGTGGAATATATCTGAGTGCTTAATATACTTTCGAGAAATTTAAAAGGTAAGAAATTGTATTCATATTTACTAGAATTGTGAGAGCATTGTGAATTGTGCAGATTTTGATGGTCCTATATTAATAAATGGTTGGAGAACATAGAAAAATAGTATTTTCTCTGCACATTTTAATTATATCAAATATTAAAATCATAAAAAAGAGAACCATTTATTATTGAGACAGTCAGAACAGCCAATTTACAATTAATTTGTATGGATAAAATAATGGATAAATCACAATATAATAAAGGCAAATATAATTTTATATCAAAGATGATCCGTTAACCGTTTGTTCATATAATTAAAACTTGTTGTTGGTTTTTAATGTGTTTCTTATTTTGTACAGTGAATAGCGGGTATCTTCTAGTCGGGATATCGAAAGTAACCTTTTTTCATGTTTCTTAATTGGTTTTTGGTTTAATTGAACTGAATTCCTAACTAATAATGGGCTTCGGTGATAAGTTGACTTCACGAATATTTACGTAAGCAACCAAGTACTTAATTTGCAGCAGTGACAAGTGGAGCTTTCGTTTTTCTATGCTTGTAAACATTTTGCATCTAAATTTTGCCTCGTTTACGGCCGTTTGTGTTTACACTCAACGACAACTGCCACTTAAATGAGGAGAACACCGCCGGTACTTTTATGTCATAAAAATATTAATAAATCGTACTTAATTGCCGGCAAGTAACTAAGAAAAAATGAGATAGGGGGCGAGTGGGGACATCTAATTCAATTACCGCTAGCCCGGTCGTCTGCCAAGCGTCTCAATATAAAAACTCAATTTAATGGATGCCAAGTTTGCCGTAATACATATATACTGAGGGGTGTTGGGTTGTCCTGGGGTCTTGAGGTCCTGAGGTTCTGAGTCCCTTGAAAGCCTGTCAACAACATTCAGCGGAGCGGAGCGAACAGCAACAACTTCGAAGGCCCGAAGCAACAACATCCTCTGTGGTATTGGCCTATAAAAAGGAGGTCCACAACAGCAGAATCAGCTTAGCCCGGCTTTTTAGGGGGAGAGCAAGGAGCTTCTGGAGGAGCAACTGCAATCAAAGCTGCAGCAGGAACACACAGAAAAATCACAAATACTAAATGAAAATAAATGTGCAGTTTTAGGAATATATATGTAATGGTCGCTTGTTTGTTTTTTTCTTTGTACAAACTTTTGCGAGCGAATCATTTTTTCATATGTCGGAATAGTTATATTTAAGTTAATTTGCATTTTTAAATTCTCAGAAAATTTATTGCTGCGCAGCAGAAACATCAGCTACACTAACAACAACATCAGTTAGAGAAAAACAAGCAAAAAACCACAAAAGCAAAC